CCCTCCGCCGCGCCCTCCCCGCCCCGCCCCCGCGCGGCGGCAGCCCCGGCGGCGGCGGCGGCGGCGGCGGGCGGGAGGCGCGGGGGCGGGGTCGGCGCCGCGCGCGGAGAGCCTCGGCCTGGCCGCGCTGCGCCCGCCGCCGCCCCCTCCCCGCCGCGGCCCTCCTGCCACAGGCCCCGGCCCGGCCTCTGCCCAGCTGCCGGAGCCGCTGCGCCCGGAGGATGCGACGCACCACAGGTTACTGGGGCCGCCAACCGCCGGGCGGGGGCCTGAGGGGGCGGCGGTGAGGCCCGCGGAGGCCTGAGGGCCGGGAGGACTGGGGAGGACTCGGGAGGACGGCGGAGGGCCGGGAGGACTGCGGAGGGTGGGAAGAGCCGGGAGGCCCGGCGAGGCCTCAGGGGCCGGCCAAGAGGAGCGAGGTCCAGTGGAGGCCGCCGACCTCAGGGGTCGGGAGTTGCGGGGAGGGCCGGGAGGGCGGCGGAGGCCGGGCCGCTGGAAGGATCAGCAGGGGAGGGCGGCGGCTAACGGGGCCGGCGGGCGCGGCCATGTTGGGCCCGGCGGGGCCCGGCGGTTGCACCTGTGCCGGCCCCGCCAGGGCGGCCGCCTTTGTTCCCGCGGCGCCGAGCGGGCCGGGCCGGCCTTTGTGAGGCGTCTCGGGCCTGGGCGGCCGCGGTGGGAGGGGCAGGTCGGGGGTCCCAGGGCCAGCGTCCGGGCAGGGGTCGGGCCGAGGGGCCGCTTTTTGTTTGCAGAAGGTGTCCGGCGTTGACACTCGCGGCGCCCGGGCCGTTGGTCAGCGCGGGCGCGCCCCCGGGGAGCCGGGCCGCGGTCAGGGCCTTGGCAGGTGGAGGCGCGGGTGGGCCGGGCGTGTGGACCCTGAAACAGGGACTGTCGGCCTCCGCCCAGGATGCTCCCCTCGCTCCCAGGCTGCAGACCGATAGTCCTTGAAGCCTCAGGACACGTAGGGATGGAACCCGGCGACTGAATGGCTGGTTTCTTCCCACTTACAGGAACAGCGGTTTAAAATCTCGGCATTTAAAAACTGGTAGTCTTGAGTTTCCATAAAAAGAAAATGGATGAGGATATTGTATAGGACCCATTGCAGCGCCAATTTTTCCTCCTTTCTGTGCCCGGGGTTTGACATTCAAGTTGAAACTTAGTATCAAAACTGATATTCTGACATTAATCATTTTTAGGTAAATAATTGGGGGTGTATGTGTATGTGTGTGTGTTTTAAAGACCTTGTGAAGAGACGACTAATTGATAAGGAATGAGTTGAAACCTAGGTTAGGGGAAGTTCTACAGTACTGCCAGCCCACTCTCAGACTTTCAAGTGTTGACTTTTAAATGAATTAAATAACAAGATCACACATTGATTATATTGGTTATGTTTTATGTATTTTTAATAAGATTATCAACATGAAAATAAGTTAGGAGCCATCCCATTTGTGAAACTGGGACTTTAACTTTATTTTCCCAAATGTCCCAGTTACATATTTAAATATGATGAGAGCAACAATATTAAAAAAGAACAATTCCAGATAACATGAAGGAAACAAGTCCTGTGATCACAACCTTTCCTTGTGGACTTGATGCATGCTCTTTACTTCCCACAGCCGACGGTAGTTCACATCTAAACTGCTGACTGAAAATGGAGAGGACTCATACTTGAAGCATGATTACTTTGAGTCATTTCCTTTTCTTTCCTTCCATTTTCTCAGCCACCCAGCAGCCTTCAGTTTTGGGCTGATAGTTGTTCGAATGAGGATTTACTGCACTGTTCTGAGTTTGTGTTAAGCTTTTGTGAAGAACTTGGATCTCTTCAGTATGAAAATCCTCTTCTCCTGACTGTATTACTGCCAAATAGGCTGACCTCTGATTCCAGGGGTAAACATTCCATTTTAAGAGTATCAAATAAATAATTTTATTAATGTCAAAGAGTAATAGATAATTTATCAAATATATATTCATACGTAACATGCAAACTAATATAACTTGAAACTTGTGGAGACATACAGAGCAAAACAAAAAGGTAAACAGGTTGTAGGTGTGTCTATTAGGTTTGTTTTTATGCAACTAATTTATATAGGGCTATTAAACCAGTACCTGTAGAAATGTGAGCACCAAATGAAGAATAAGGCAGAATTTCAGAATGGGTCAGGAATTATAGACCCTGTGGGTTAGGAAGAGTGGGTGCAGTCTTCAGACTGTCCCCTCCTAGCAATAGTCAAACCTTAAAAGGTTTACTTACGTAGCAGAATGCGAACTAACTAGTTGCTTCCTTTTTTAACAGCTTGAAGATTCAGTGTAAAACATGTAAAAGTAGGTGGAATTAGATTTACTAAGAAAGTGCTTGTGAGAGGATAGAAAACACTGTGTGTGTGCGTGTGTACATGCGCGCGCATGCGTGCTATGTGAACTGTAGGAGTCTCTTCACTAAATAAGGGCGTATATAAAAGGATGTGCTAAGATGTTGCTGAAGTTCATAATCCAAACTTATTTTGCCCTGTCCTTTTTATTTATTTATTTTTAGAGATGGATTCTCGGTATTTTGCCCACGCTGGAGTGTAGTGGCTATTCACAGGTGCAACTGTAGTGCACCATAGCCCCGACCTCCTGGGCTCAGGTGATCCTTCTGCCTCACCCTCCAGAGTAGCTGGGACTTCAGGTGCATGCCACTACACCTAGGTCTGCAGTTTCCTTTTTAATTGAGCAAATGGGCAAATAACCTTTCAAAGTAAATGCTTTAATTAATCGGTGGGAACTGAAGACATATGGCTTTGTACTCATTCTGGTATAGTTGTTTGGTTTTTCCTTTGGTGGACTGCTCATGGCCATAGAATGCATACAACTTTGGATAAGCATCTTAGTCTCCTGATCCTCACTCTCCTTTTTTGCCTGACTGCAGTAAATGTGTCCTTGTTCCCCAAATATGTAGTACCCTGTCCTGACTCCAGGTCTTTGTGTGGGCTATTGTTGGGTATGGACCACCACTAGTCCTCCCTTTTTGAGCATAATGCACAGCCTTTTATTGGCGTATGTGATTTTCTTTCCTGTTGAGTGAACTCTTGGAGGGAGGCTTCTGTCATTGCCCTGGGCAGCCTGGCCTATGTTGGTGCCTTCTCATGGTGGGCACTCAGTAAATGCTGAATAAATGGGCATATGGCTTAGGGTAAACAAAACTCATTTTAATGCCAGTATCTGGTCTATTTGCTTCTCTTTTTTGTGTCATGTTGGAGCAGAAAGGGCCTCTCTTGGGGAAGAAGCTGAGCATAGAATGGAAGGGACTGAGCTAAGGTCACTCTGTTTTAATTGGGAAGCCAGGACTTTTTGCCAGGCAGGGCAGTTTCCTTTGCTTACCATAGCTAATGCAAATGTTGAATGAAAATTAGCTATGAAACATTCTAAACACCTAAGTACAACAAATAATAGAACAGACCTGTACCTAGCACCAAGATGGAGCAAGAGTTTCTTCTGTACCTCATTGCTGCTCTCTCTGTATCACTGGATGAAGTAAAGAGAATATGAAGTACATAAAATACAAAAGAAAGAGGTAACCTGGAAACTCCAGAGCATTAGGCTCATGTTTGCAAATTGACTTTTTTTTTTCTTAAAGCCATGGTCTTGCTATGTCACCCAGGCTGGAGTGCAGTGGTATAATCATAACTCACTATAACCTTGAACTCCTAGGCTCATGCAGTCTTCTGCCTCAGCCTCTCAAGTAGCTGGGACTACAGGCATGTGCCACCATGCCCGGCTAATTTTTTCTATATATTTTTAGCCGTCCGATTAATTTCTATTTTTTTTTTTAGTAGAGACGGGATCTCGCTCTTGCTCAGGCTGGTCTCGAACTCCTGAGCTCAAACAATCCGCCCGCCTCTGCTAGGGCTAGAGTGCTAGGATTACAGGTGTGAGCCACTGCGCCCGGCCTCTGGCTAATTTTTAAACAGACTTTTTGTAGAGATGGAATCTTGCTATGTTGAGCAGGCTGACCTCGAACTCCTGAGCTCAAGTAATCATCCCACCTCAGCCTCCCAAAGTGCTGGGATGAACCACCATGGCATGAACCACCACACCCAGCCTGCCTTAGCTTTTTTCCCGTAGCACTTATCCTCCGACATCCCATGTGTCTTCCTGACTACATTGAGTCATCTGTGAAGGCAGGGACTTTTCTCCTTTGGCTTTGATTATTATTATATCTCCAGCACCTGGAACATTATCTGAATGTGTGTCAGGCATTCAGTGATTATTTGAATGAATGAGCCCTCAGTACTTTGTATGATATGGGGGAATAATATGTCCCAGAAGAGGTGTGAATAAAGGGGAGTGATATGAGCATGTTTGCCCTGGTGTGAGGCTGGAAAGGTGGAGGGCCAGGGGCTGGTGGCAGAGGTCAGGGAGGAGGCCCATGGACTAGTATCAGGGCCAGAGGACCATGGCTTCACCAACTCACAGGAAGTCGGGATGGGGAAGAGTGGACAGATGCAAGGGAGGGAGCTGAGGCAGCATTGACAGGGGTGGGTGATTCCAGTATTTACGATCTGAAAGATTAATTAGTTGGTAGTACCATTTTTACCTCAACCATGAACTAGTGGAAGGGAAGGGAGGGTGTCATAGTTTCTGATTTATCTCTGTTCCTTCCAGAAGGAAGCTCTGATCTCATCTACCTGCCTAAAATGTGTCTGTAGTGCTTCACTGTTGGCCTAGAAGAGGAAACCCTAGATCTTGAGCATGGCGTGTGGTTCCTGCCTCTTTCTAGCCCCTTCACTGGCTAGTCCCTTTTGGTTGCACTAAGACCTTGCTGTCATGCTGCTTGTAGCTCTTATGATGGATGAGCTGTGCTCTGTTCCCACGTATATCTTTGCATGTATTATTGCTTCTTCCTGAGTTGCCTTGTTTTGTGTTGCCACAGTGCTTTTACCACTCAGCCTTAATCTCTGTGAAGCCTTTCCCTATTTCCACCAGCGTTGCAGACCCTGCGCCTGTGGCACTAGATGCATTTTTGCTCCCCTAAGTTTGTCACACCCTTGTGAATGCTAGGCCTGTTATGACAGCACCTTGCATAGGCTCTTGCCCCCTTCTCTTTTCCAGGTTGTGACTTTTTCAAGATGAGGCCCTTCTGACTTGTCTTACAGTGCTTGAATGTAGAAGGCACTCAGTTAACAAGTAGAGATAGCTTTTGGGTATTATTCTGTTTTCCTGAGGATTTTTATTTCATAATAATGTAAATTCTAGATTTT